CAACGTGGTGATCCAGCGCCAAGTATACGTGTATTGTGGGTACCTATTAATTATGATTGAAGCTAGCTTTTCCCGGGCGCGCTGGCAATAGGAATGTCAGAGTTGGGAAAAGTAATTAGAGATCTTCACATTCAGGTGGTTTTAGATCTGTAACGGGTTCAATGCCAAACAAAGCAGTAACCTTGTCTTTAGCATCAAAAATAGAATTTGGTTTATGTCAAATGAATCTTAAACCTTCTCGAAATTGGTACACGAAATGTGTATCCGCTCTTTACACACGTGGTCGACTCTTCCGTACAATGGAAGAACGCCGTTTTATGGGCCTCCAGACGTTGCCAAATTTCCTTTGGTAAAATTTCAATTCTCGAGTAAATCTGTGTACATCGATGGTGAGAGTGCAGAACTGCGTAACTCGGAAAACTCGATTTAGTTAATCTATATAATAAAAGGATTGGACGGATTTCGTGACCTTGAGATTCCCGGCCCCGTCCCTCGGTCCTTCCGTGTCCTACGCTCTTGAAATTTGGTCGGCGTGATCCCGGCGGCCGGCTCTACCGTCCCTCCGCGGGTTTTTCCGGTCCGACCCTTCGGGGGGTTGCTGCAGTCCTCACGGGTTTTTTCGGAAAAACTGCCACCGCTCCCGCCCCGTTCGTCTTTTCGGCTCCGGATTCGGCACCCGGGCGCCCCCCGGCGGCCGGAGCTTACCTCCAGATGATTACCGACCCCGACCACCCCGGATCGGCGCTGCGCCCCGAAAGGCCGTTTCTTACACCCTTACGTGTTAATGGTCACTTCGTACCCTTTCGTTCGTCCCCCGAGCCCCCGGCTCCGTCTGCCGGTGGGCTCTGGTTCGTGGACACCTGCTAAGATCGGGTTTGGAGATCCCACCATCCGGGGGGGGGGGGGGGCGCGGGGGCTCTTTTTGTGTTTTCGGGAAAATCGTCCTGGCTCCCTCCCCGCCGGGCCGATCGCGGCGGCGTTTAGACCGGCAATTCTGCTCTTCGTTTCACTTGGGTGGTGAGAGCGCCCCCCGGGGAGCCGTAAGGGGGGCGTCGCGGGAGCCCCCCGGAAAGTTGGTACTGACCCAATTTCTTAGTGGGTCGCGCGGATTTTGGAAACGGTAAGGCCGGATTGCTGTTGCTATGGTTACCTATGCTCACATGACAGCATACGGCTCGAACGCGCGGTGTCGCTGGATCTCCCTCGACAGTTATAGGTGTTCACTACTGCACTTCGTCAGGAAACCGGAATCTGGCACTTTCGCGTTATTTTTCTTCTACAGCTCTTAAACGTTCGCAGTTTTATGATCTTCTGAACTCTATGTAGTAAAAGGATTGGTCGGATTTCGTCACCTTGAGACCACCATCCTCGTTCCGCGGTCCTGCCGTCTCCTGCGCTCTTGAAACTTGGTCGGCGTGATCCCGGTGGCCGGCTCTCCCGTCCCTCCGCGGGTTTTCCCGGTTCGACCCCCCGGGGGATTGCTGCAGCCCTCAAGGGTTTTTCTGGAAAAACCGCCACCGCTCCCTCCTCCTTCGTCTTTGCGGCTCAGGATTCGGTACCGGGACGCCTCCGGGCGGCCGGAGCTTAGGTTTCGGGAATTTCTGACTTCGGTCCCTCCGGGGGGGGGTGGGGCGCTCCCCGAAATACCGTTCTTAAGCGGTCCGCCGTAACCTTGAACTTCTTGACCCCGTCCCGCGGCCCCCCTATGTCCCACGCCCCTGAGGATCGATCGGCGGGACCCCTGCGGCCGGGTCTCCGGTCCCCCCGCCGGGTTTTTCGGCCCGACCCTCCGGGGGGTTGCTGCAGCCCCTAAGAGTTTTTCGGGAAAACCGTCACCCCTCGCGCCACGTTCGTCCTTCCGGCTCGGGATTCGGCACGCGGGTGCACTCGGGTGGCCGGAGCTTAAGTCCAAAGAATCGCTGACCCCGGCCTCCCCGGAGGGGCGCTGCGCCCCGAAAGGCCGTTTTTTCCACCCCCGCGTGAAGTGTCCCACTTCTTACCTTCCCGTTCGTCCTCCGGGCTCCCAGTTCCGTCTGCAGGTCGGCTTCGCTTTGGCGACGTTCGGTCAGGTTGGATTAAGCGATCCCTCCATCCGGAGGTGCGCTGGTGCCCTCCGACGGTTTTCGGAAAAATCGGCCTGGCTCTCTTCCTGTCGGGCCGATCGGAGCCGCGTTTGGACCGGAGGTTCTGCCTTTCGTCCCGCGTTAGGCGGTGCAAACGCCCCCCGGGGGTCCGCGACGGGGGAGCCGTGGGAGCCCCCCGAGGGTACCGGTGCCGACTCAGTTTCTCAGTAGGTTACGCGGATTTTGGAGACGGAGGGCTGGATTGCTGTTCCCATGGTTATGCTATACTCATATGACTACGCATTGCTCGAGCGTGCCGTGTCGCAAGATCTCGCTCACCGGAGGGATTGTTTTGAGCTCAGTCCGTCGGGAAACCTGAATTCGGCAGCCGCGCATCTTTTTTTTTTTTTACTTTTCATTTTCAAACTCTGGTGTGGGAAGCGTAGCGGCCGGGGACTTGAAGGTTACTGCGGCAGTTCAATAATTTCATTCATAAGAAGAGAAGAGGAGGAAGATTTGAATTGCTCAATCGCGGAACATGGCCAATATTCTTGAATTTTAATTTTTTTCATCGAATTTCATCAAATTTTGTATGTTCTAGCGTCACATTGCCAAAAAAAAAGTTGAAATCAAACGCTGAGTCCTGCAATCTTAAGTTTCAGCAGTCGCTATTACACTGTGCGATTGCAATTACTCCCCAAAATAAATTAAAGTGTTCCCAGCTACGTTTACTAAAATTGACCGCGATCGCAATAATATTCTCCAAAAGTATCCGCCAACGGTTTTCGGAAAAATCGGCCTGGCAGGAAGGGAGCCAGGCCGATCGGAGACGCGTTTGGAGCGGAGGTTCTGCTCTCTATCCCGCGTCGGGCGGTGCAAAGAAAATTTAATAGGCATGCAATACTAAATTCTCTATGTGATTTTGGCTGCTGAATCCGAACACGGATTTAACTTTTTTCCATCATGCACAGATTTTCCGGAACACTGATACTTCTCTGGAAAAGCTAGATTTCTAGGGAAAATTCCTATTTTCGCGGGGAACATATAGACCTAATAGGTGTTAGGTAAAAGACGTTAAGAGAGAAAAATAATTTGATTTTCATGTTTAATTTTTTTTATATTGAAGAAAAATTATCCATACGGAGTGTACAAGAACCTCAAAATCATAAAAAAAAATCAAATCATGAGTTGAAAAACTTTAATTCCGCGAGTTTAAATAATCACGTCAAACACTGTTCAGATACTGTAAAACGCATGTTCGCGCCTACATTACAGAAGGAATATTTCACGCATTGCGCGTTCACCAAGGGTGCGTGCTGGGGTTGAGAATTTGTAATTAGTCATTGTAGGGCCTACCGCGAGGCACACGGTGTCCTAGGCTTTTGCACTCTTGGACTCAGTAACACATTTCTTGTTTCAAGCCTCCATCAAACGGTCCATCGCAAATATTTCACTATCCTATTCCACTCCTCAATCCGAGAAATCTTTGTTTTGCAATGTTGTCTTTTCAGTTTGCTGATCAAAAGCATCAATCACTGATAAAATGGGAAGCATACAAGAAAATTTCGCGAACGACAATTTATCCATTCCAAATATTCTTCAATGTACTTGGCACAAAAATAGCGCAAGTGATCGAGTTATTAACGAGATACATACTTACTGGGAGCAATGGTCCACTTTTAATTTTTTAGATTTGTTTGAAATTGTTCAACCCACCTCGGATAGATTTATGAACGATGATATCGAACATCACGTCCGTTTTTTGGGTTAGGTGTTACGTCAATGTTCTCCGCAAAAATAGGAATTTTCCCTACAAATCTAGCTTTTCCAGAGAAGTATCAGTGTTCCGGAAAATCCGTGCATGATGGAAAAAAGCTAAATCCGTGTTCGGATTCAGCAGCCAAAATCTCATAGGGAATTTAGTATTCCATGTCTATTAAAGTTTCTTTTCTAATCCTAATACCGAGGTTTTGGCGGGCCAGTGCTCCCATTCGCCCATATAACACCATGTATAACTCATTCGGTTATTGTGCGCCGGAAAGGAAATAAGGAAAACATTTTTCTCAGATACTAGAGGCTGATTCTCATTCAATTTTTGCCTCTCAATCCGAAAATGATCTTTTTTTCATCGAAAATCTACCAAATTTTTTAAAAATAGATTTTTCAGCTCAAAAAAATCCCCTCTCTTTGGGATATTGATTTTTCCGAAGGTTTTGGAAGAGAACGAGGATCATTTTCGGCTGCAGCGACAAGAATTGAGTGGGAATAACTCCACTTGTTGTGTGAGGAATAAAATTTCCCTCTCTTCTCCGACGCATAACAATCGGATGAGTTTTACATGTATTTACGAAGGCGGAAAGGAGCACTTGTCCGAAAAAATATTGATGTCAGGAACAGATAGGAAACTTGAATAAGCATGCAATAAATGGCTCTTGTGTAATTTTGGCAGCTGAATCCGAAAATCACCGTATTTTTTCTCCTGTCATTCAGTCTGCATAAACTGCTACGTGCGAAGCACGTAAGGGTCGCTATTCTAAAAAAACTGTCTACATTCCCCTTTTTTGTTGGTAGAAGGGTAATAATTCTTCAGCACAGGAAGACTAAAATGCTTTTTTAGACTCTATCAGCATTTTGAATAATTTCTCGAACTGTTGGAAAATACGGCAAAAATGCCGAGATTCACGTTTTCGGCACTCAGAATTGACAGTTTATCGCGAGTTATGCTTTTTTGCTATTAGTGTTTTAAACCTGTTGATCATTTTTCTAATATTTCTTTTCTACTTAACTAGCTTATCATTGAAATTAAGAAAATTAAACCAGTTGTTACATGTAACCCATGAAATCCAGTCAAAATAAAAAAGGAGTTGGGAGTTTGTCTTCTGGAGTTTCTGCTCAATTTTCCAGGTGACAAAAGAGAAAAATTAACCGGTCAATTACCTGTGTGCCGGTGTTAGGCGAGACTTCGATGCACCAGAAAGGTGTAGTTGGCGCTATGAAGATGATGTTGAGCTGAAACCAGCATATTGGCAGTTTCAGCAGAGCCATCAGCAGACCCAGCCTTGCCTGCCACGGCCCAAACTCTCCGATCAGTTTTTCCACCGGATCCTCCATGGTCAAAACACACGATTACAATCAATCCACGGACGCAATATTCACAATCACTGATTGGAACACTGATTCACTCAATTAAATTGAATATTAGCCGAAACGGATCACTAGATGCCACCTTTGGTTGGTTTGTATTGAAAGGACATTTGTTGATGCTCGGGTTTTGGCACATAAAAGATAGATACCACGCTTTTTTTATTATACTAAGTGATCGAAGAGGTTACACTGGTTTTCTGATTGACGTACTGTAAACTGACTTGATTGCTAAGTGCCACAGTTGGGTAGATTTTTACTAGTACTTGGAATCAAGGTTTGTCGAAAATCCAAACTAGCGCGAGGCATCATTGTGACTGGTTAACTGATGAGGAGACGCTGTCATCTTATGTGATGAGAACCGTGGGAGGTAGGTGAATTCCAGTCATCGTTATCTGAAACAGAAAACACTTGTTTTACAGTGGGTGTATTACTGAGCGGATGAATGGTGAATGCCGAGCCCTCTCTTGAATGGTTCCTTTGAGAATAGACTTAAGTGATTGTGGCTACTAATCTCACTTGGGAGTTTTTTTTAATACATTGGTCAATTATAAGCTACGGTTCATTCAAGTGGTGCGCATTCCTATGATCGTAATTTTTCAATTGTTCTCACTTTGTGTCTCACCTTTAGATGGAGGTGTGCATAAATTAGGTATGTATCTTATCGATGGACACGAAACATGGAAGAAAACATTGAAAGCCTCAGTTTAAAAAATAAAGGAATGTGTTAACAGGATGTATAATGGAATTTATTGACCCTATTAGTCCGATTGCACATGATAGGTAATTGGACTACATTTTGCAAATAGAAATTACAATTTCTAGATTAGTTTAGAAATAGCTTTTGTGCCATAAGTTTTTCAATAGACATAAGCGATTTCATAGATGAGCCATAGAAACTGTAGCTCCTATACTTGCAAAATATAGTCCACTTCGGTCATTTACAGAGAGTCCTATACTTCTGAATGTGCTTAGGAGATAAAGGCTTAGAAATAAAAAGCTCAAGTTCAAGGAGTCATACAGTTTTTCTCTTGAAATCTTCAGAGAGTTTAGATCTTGCTGCCAGTAAAATTCTCTGAAAAATAAAGGAGAAGAATTCACAGATTTCCCTGGAAATTTGTTTTATTACAAGAAATTTGACAACATTTGAAAGCTCATGCGGCGATCCTCCTTAGCATCGCAGACTCAGAAACTGGCAAACTAACTTTGGGCCCAAAATGTTTGCGAATGGCCCCGCCTAAGGCCAGAATCTACAGTTCAAACACTTTTTGAGCAAAAAATAAACTCTGCAACGCTGTGCTTATAATAAATGGTACATGGAGTCTCATGGAAAATCGAAATATTGACAAAAAATCCCAAATGATTTCAGATGGTTTCAAATTTCAGCATACACCATTAAAAGAATTTTTAAGCAAACAAAAAAGTCCGTGACTCTAAGGTATAACAGTGCGATTGTCGATGAGAAAGATGACCTCAGTCCACTTCTTCAAAGGCAAAATCCTCAAGACAGCGATATTTATTAAGTGGAGTCAAAAATCAGAGTTTTATAATTCGATAGAAAACTCACTCTGGATTTCTGAAGAATAAGCTGAAGTTTAAAATTTTTGGTGCAGTTTGTGAGAATTCGTAAATATAAATTATAATCTGGAAATTCCGCACTCTTAAAAAAGGCAGTAAGAGGCTTTAAAAAGGCAGACACTGTAAAAAGTAAATTTTAAATAGTTTTTCTTTACACCATTTTTTGAGGAGGTCCGCACCGCCGCATAACTACTGGGCATTCATTATAGATATTCATTGCCTAAAAACCTCATGACCTAAAATCATCGATATCTATTGCGAGAAAAAACTTTCTTGCGGCATAATATATTCTAAGCACTTCTAGCTTCTTAATAGAATACGGTGACTCGGGTAATACCGCACTGGAGGGAATGAATCGTTACGCTTATAAAAATTTGATACCTATTTGTGACGTCATAAGCCTAAAATATTTGAAATTCCTAGGAAAAATGGTGGCAATCTAGCAACATCGCTCCAGGAGGCGTAGCATCGGGAAGCTGCACGGGATCCGAGCTGACGGCGCTGTCGCGCCATACGTCTTACGTCACCATGGTGACACAGTTGCCTCGTATTTCACTATAATTAGAAATTCTCTACGTGTTTTTGCAGAGAGAAAAGTACTTGAGTGCTACCAGGCAACTGTGGCCGCCTGCAATAACTATTATGAAAGACCTGGTCTTACTGCTTGGGACTCGCCACACATTACCACTGCCATTGACAGACGTTGCCGATTTTAAGGTTTCTGCGACATAGGTAGCGCTCATCAAAATGAATCAAAAGCACATACAAATGTAAGGAACTAATCTTCGAGTGTGGAGTTGGTTAGGGAGGTGATGATAAAGTGTTGGATCAAAACTATTCTACGAAGAAATCAAAAGGCTAAAGAAATCCAAACGTGTTCATTAGATTAAAATATTCTAACTCTAATGAATATAATCGTATGACAGGAGGGGAGAGAGTTCAGGTCACAATCAGACAGATGCATTGGAATATCAAGCTACTGTCACGCTGAGAGACCTATATCGAATATTATTAGCAATTATGGTTAACTGGACGACGTTTTGCAATAAGAAATTATCATTTCTGAAATATTCATTAAATAATCTATCTAAATATGGAAACTGATGGTATACATACATAAGTTGTTTCTGACATAAGCCAGAAACAGAAGTTCCTGGTTAAAAATTCGGCCCAGCTTAAGTATGTCCTCTATATATGCTTAATATCTTCTAATGTCGTCTTACTGATTAACAGAAATCTGATTAAATTCAGTTTTGAACTTATATGAAGACTTCTTTCCAGTACCACAGGGGAATTTAATTGAAAGGAACAAGGCCTCATGTTGTCTTGTTGAAAAATGAGGTACGAGACAAAATTCGATAACGTGAAATGCTGGTGGAATCATTTCAGTTACATCTTTTGGTGTGAGTAAGGAGGTGAAGATGTTCGGACGTGGCGCAATTTGTTTCAGGGACAAAATTTCAAAAAATGTCCGAAGACAACCAATAATTGGAAAAAAAATTGGGAAAATAATCGCCTCGTGAAGAGTCATTTACCTAATCTTCCTTCTTTCTTTGCCGCCTTTGCCCTAGTAGCACATAATGGGTGTCAAAAGTGTTTTAAAAATGTTTCACTGAAATCAAGAAACGTCGTCAACACATTTCATCGAAACATTTTCAAAACATTGGAAATGTTTTCATTCAATTTTTAACACGTTTCAGGCACTTCTCTATGTCACCCCAAATTTTTGTCAAACCGACATCTTTATCATGACATATTTATCAGAAACATCTCTGTAGGATACGCAGATGTTTCTGATAAATATTGAGAATGTATCAAAGTTTCGGTGAAACGTTTCAGGAACATTTCTGAAACATATTTTTGAAAGGAAAGGTGCTTGATGATCTCACAGAATTGTTTCAGAAACGTTTCCAAAACATTTCGATGGTTTTCAAAATATTTCCTACGTTTCATCAAAACATATTGAACACGTTCAGAATGTGCTCATTCAATTTTTAACACGTTTCAGACACTTCTCTATGTCACCCCAAATTCTTGTGTCGCCTACACCGTGAGAAGATGTTTTTGAAACCTATTGAGGATGTTTCAAAGTTTCACTGATACGTTTCAGAAACATTTCTATTACATGTATTTGAGAAAATTAGGTTCTGACTGTTCACTATAAAATGTCTTAGAAACGTTTGCATGTTTCAGAAATGTGTTTCCACGGGGGTTGCTTAGAGGCTAAATAACAAAAATTTTCAGACATTTGTTTTAACAAATGTCGCTGTGGGATCAGAACCGTCACAACAGGAATTCCTTGATACCAACCATGCCTGCCGACTGAATCGTTATACTTCATCATTAACAACCGATAAGCGGGATTAGGACACCTTCACTTTAGAAAAGTATACGCAAAGCATGATGTACGGTTTCAATATTCTAGATAAAACGTTTCAAATTTATATTAAGGAAACTTTCGAAGTGTTTCGTGTCAATTATGTACTTCAAAAATGTTTTTGGAACGTTTCAATGAGATGATGTAAGTTTGAGACTTTTGAGATGTTTCTGAAATATTAGTGAAACTGATTATTGTGCTACTAGGGTACATAGCGGAGTTAAAAAAATATATCATAAGTCTCTCGATCTGTAGGCAACTCATAATTCTGGAAACAATGTGGCAAATCAGCTCTCAAGTTAGCTCTAAACCACAAGTTGTTCAATCCCCTCAAACTTATGGATAAATATGTCTCTGACAATTCTTTGGCATGCACTGCCCGGTTTCTCAACTATTCAATCCAATAATTGCAGGAGCAACTCTACAAGCATTGCAGTCTATTGGGCGTAAGCAATAGATCTGTGGCAACGAAGTGCGGTCAGTGCATATACGAATTTTACATGATTTAGTAAGATTGCTGCCAAACCGCCACGCCATAGGTAGTGGGCAAGTTTTCAAAGACTGCCTAAAACGGCTGCAATGAAATTTACAGAAAAATGAGCCCGAGGGACTACAAAGTGGGCCGCCTTCGGCAGAAAGGAGCCAAGCCGCATCAGTCATGGCTTAATTTAATTGGACAAATTAATTGTTTACATGTAAACGGTCGTCCGGATTTTTGTGCAAATTTCAGTGAATTTTTTGCCTAGTACGAAGCAAATTCCTTAAAATTCTCGAAGGAATTCGCACAAACGTTCTCTTGTATATGCAGCATTGAATTGCTCGGTCAAATTTGGCAACAGCTAATGTGGCTTTTTTCCTTTGTGCTTAACGCGGTCTAAATGTTTTTCAGCGATTAAATATTCGGGAAGAGATGAGGTCTCATTCTTTAAACTGCGGTGACTATGCTCCATTGGATTACATTCTGAATTTGGGAACTAAAATTTGTTGCTCAATTTAGAAACAGCGTATGTAAGAAACAATAGTTTTTCTATGCATTTCCCAAAAAAGACATAATATTTTTACAATATTGGGCAAATATTGTCAGTATTGTCGCAATATTTACACAATACTGACAATATTTTGATAATATTTTAATCAAAATTATTTTTTAAAAAAATATTTACAAAATCTCTATTTGGTATTTTTAAAAATAATATGTTTACCCGAAATATTATAAAATATTTTCACAGTATTGGCACAGAGTTTCACAGTATTTTAAAGTATTAGAACAGTATTTATGCCAAAAGGAAATATGGTGTGCACTTTTAACATTGGCTCAATATTTAACCAATTTTAACCCGATGTTTGCATAAATATCAAAACAATATTGTTTAAATATTGGTTAAATATTTCTGTCTTATCTGGGATAGTTTATATACGAATGAGACAGAAATTCTACTT